ACGCTGGAGGGGAGGGATAGGATACAGAAGGACCTAGACAAATTGGAGGATTGGGCCAAAAGAAATCTGATGAGGTTCAATAAGGATAAGTGCAGGGTCCTGCACTTAGGACGGAAGAACCCAATGCACAGCTACAGACTAGGGACCGAATGGCTAGGCAGCAGTTCTGCGGAAAAGGACCTAGGGGTGACAGTGGACGAGAAGCTGGATATGAGTCAGCAGTGTGCCCTTGTTGCCAAGAAGGCCAATGGCATTTTGGGATGTATAAGTAGGGGCATAGCGAGCAGATCGAGGGACGTGATCGTTCCCCTCTATTAGACATTGGTGAGGCCTCATCTGGAGTACTGTGTCCAGTTTTGGGCCCCACACTTCAAGAAGGATGTGGATAAATTGGAGAGAGTCCAGCGAAGGGCAACAAAAATGATTAGGGGTCTGGAACATATGAGTTATGAGGAGAGGCTGAGGGAGCTGGGATTGTTTAGCCTGCAGAAGAGAAGAATGAGGGGGGGATTTGATAGCTGTTTTCAACTACCTGAAAGGGGGTTCCAAAGAGGATGGCTCTAGACTGTTCTCAATGGTATCAGAAGACAGAACGAGGAGTAATGGTCTCAAGTTACAGTGGGGGAGGTTTAGATTGGATATTAGGAAAAACTTTTTCACTATGAGGGTGGTGAAACACTGGAATGCGTTACCTAGGGAGGTGGTAGAATCTCCTTCCTTAGAGGTTTTTAAGGTCAGGCTTGACAAAGCCCTGGCTGGGATGATTTAACTGGGAATTGGTCCTGCTTTGAGCAGGGGGTTGGACTAGATGACCTTCTGGGGTCCCTTCCAACCCTTATATTCTATGATTCTATGATTCTATGACCGGGATATCATGCAGGAGGATCTGGATGACCTTGTAAACTGGAGTAATAGTAATAAGATGAAATTTAATAGTGAGAAGTGTACGGTTATGCATTTAGGGATTAATAACAAGAATTTTAGTTATAAGCTGGGGACGCATCGATGAGTAGTAACAGAGGAGGAAAAGGACCTTGGAGTATTGGTTGATCATAGGATGACTATGAGCCGCCAATGTGATATGGCCGTGAAAAAAGCTAATGCGGTCTTGGGATGCATCAGGCAAGGTATTTCCAGTAGGGATAAGGAGGTTTTAGTACTGTTATACAAGGCACTGGTGAGACCTCACCTGGAATACTGTGTGCAGTTCTGGTCTCCCATGTTTAAGAAGGATGAATTCAAACTGGAACAATGGAAAACTTGTCTTATGAAAGGAAACTCAAGGAGCTTGGCTTGTTTAGCCTAACTAAAAGAAGGTTGAGGGGGAGATATGATTGCTCTCTTTAAATATATCCGAGGGATAAATACCGTAGAGGGAGAGGAATTATTTAAGCTCAGTACCAATGTGGACACAAGAACAAATGGATATAAACTGGCCACTAGGAAGTTTAGACTTGAAATTAGATGAAGGTTTCTAACCATCAGTGGAATGAAGTTTTGGAATAGCCTTCCAAGGGAAGCAGTGGGGGCAAAAGATCTATTTGGCTTTAAGATTAAACTCGATAAGTTTATGGAGGAGATGGTATGATGGGATAACATGATTTTGGTAATTAAATATTCATGGTAAATAGGCCTAATGGCCTGTGATGGGATGTTAGCTGGGGTGGCATCTGAGTTACCCAGGCAAGAATTGTCTGTAATGGTGAATCATGCCCATATGCTCAGGGTTTAGCTGATCGTCATATTTGGGGTCGGGAAGGAATTTTCCTCCAGGGCAGATTGGAAGAGGCCCTGGAGGTTTTTCGCCTTCCTCTGTAGCATGGGGCACGGGTCACTTGCTGGAGGATTCTCTGCTCCTTGAAGTCTTTAAACCACGATTTGAGGACTTCAATAGCTCAGACATAGGTAAGGTTTTTCGCAGGAGTGGATGGGTGAAATTCTGTGGCCTGCGTTGTGCAGGAGGTCAGACTAGATGATCATAATGGTTCCTTCTGACCTTAGTATCTATGAATCTATGAGCTGGGAAGCATGTGGTACATCCTACACATAACCCTTATCCTACCCAGCTCCCTACCAGGGATCCTACTGGTAAATGTACAGTCTCAGAGGTAGTACATATGAATAGAGGTGGGGAAAGAGAGAACGCTTCCTACTCACCAGCCATATTTTGTATTCCACCCTATTTCAAATCAAGACAAGGTGCCTTTCTGGGTGATATGCTTTAGTCAGTCACAGGTTATTGAGTTCCGTACAGGAATAACAAAATTCTGTGGTGAGTGTGTAGCAGAGATGCCATCCTAATGTGCCCCTTCCTGGAGTGCTGATACAGAAGATCTGCCTCCGTTTCCCTACATAGTCTTCAGCCCACTTGCACTGGAGATGTGGCTTAGCCCTCCAGCCAAGTTGCTGCAGAGAATTCAACCCCTTCCAGATTAACTGAGTCCCTCAGTCAAAAACCAACCGAGACACCAGACAAACATAATCTTGACCCCAGCCCAGCTCAGCTCTTAATCCCCTTCCTGGCAGGCAGGCCCCCAGCTGCAACAGCCTGTCCTAACACTTAATAGGCTCCTGGATCTTAACAGGCCAATGAATCTAGGTCAGGCCCACCCTTCTACACAGGAGCTCTGCCAGGCTGCAATCTTCAGAGAGCTCCTAGACCCAGCCATGTTTCTTGGCCCACACAGGAGCAGCCTGTCTGCTCTCCTTCCCCATCAGGCCCCAACTAGTGGCCTTCCCTCCTTTTAAGTCCATCTCCCAGGCCTTATGCCCAGCACAGGTGGAGCAGAGCAGAGCTAATCGAGTCTATGTCTGGTGTTTAAGCCTTTCCTGCCTGTTTCAGGGTTTGTCAGAGTGTGGTACAGGAGGTCAGGCTTGATGAACTAATAATGGTCCTTTCTGGCCTTAAAATCGATGAATATCTTCGGTATTGTACCCTACCAAAAGCTCTACTCAGTAGCATGTGGTAAGCTGAGCAGGGGAGTAACTGAGTAAAGATGATTAGATTGGGACCAATGTAATTTCTCTCTGTTTTGGGTTGAACAGACTGTGTGGGGTGAATATCCCTTTCTTGTTCCCACTATCCAGCTTTCTGCAAGTCTGTGATTAAGTCTCAATACATTTCCATGTGTGCTTTTGTTTTAATGATCAAGTCTCTTCTGTCTTTCACATAAAAAGTGGATGGTGTTAAGTGTCGTGTCTTACTCCTCACCCCTTGGGGATGATTTCTGATCACGTTGGGATGAGATTTTTCATACGACTGGACCCGATATTCCTCTTATCCCTTAAAACGAGCAGGATGGAAAAATCTGCTATCAGATTTAAGCTATTAGTCTTAGATTCTGGCCAGCATTTTCAAAAGTGACTAGCAATTTTGGGTGTATCAGTCGTTGGGTGTCCAAGTTGAGTCACGTTGAAGGGGTCTGATTTTTCAGAGGATAGGTGTTCAGTTTTTCTGATAATTAAAACCTGTTGAGGGAACAGAAGGGGGGTGCCAAACACTGAGGCACTCCAAATCACTATTTGCTTTTGAAAGTCTTGGCCTCTTATCAGAGAAGGTGGCTCTCACTTACATTGGTTTTAATTCAGTTGAGGTCAATGGAGTTGCTCCTGACCCACAGTGATGTAAGTCAAACTTAAGGGTCGAGTTCCTTCAAACAGACAAAAATCCTTTCACCATCTATTGGTTTGATTTTTGTCTTGGGTTTCAATGTGGTGCTTATCTCCTTTCTGTAGTAGAAAATGTTACTTAGCATGGGGATTATATTTCTCTGGCATCCATTTTATTGTCAGAGCAACATTTTACAAGAAGGGCTTACTTCTTGTTTGTCTGTATGTGGCTCAGCCATTGTATGGAAAAATGGTCTTGAGATTAAGGCATTGGTCTGTGGCTTGGGAGACCACTGTTCAATTCCCAACCTCATCTCAGCCTTACTGTGTGGCCTTGGTTTAGTGTCTTAAACTTGAGCCTCTCCCACTGAAGCCAATAGAAGGGGTCTCATTGAATTCAATGGCCATAGAATTGGGCTACAAGTTTGTCTAGCCTTCAGTTCCCCATTGTTAAAAAGGGGACAGTGATATTTCTTGACCTCAAGGGAATGTGAGGTTCTTGGGTATTATGGTGATGGGGACTAAGATCTCAGCTAGATTTTGTAGAGGAGCACAAACATTGTCCCATTCTAGGGAGCTCGCAGGTGCTAGTTTCCTAGATGAGGGTAAGGTGGATATGGGGCCAAGGCCCTCTCCATACCAGCTTGGACAGCTTATAAGGCACATCAGCGGCCCAGGGCCTGAGCTTAAACTTGATCTAACAATGGGCAAAGTCAATGCACATCCCTGATCTTGGCTGTACAGATGTACTCTGGAAAAGGAGGGTGGAATAACTTAATTTTATCTCCTCTGTGCCCCCTTTTCAGAACTCATGCAGCTCCCATAGCGCTCGAAGAATGTGAGACATGGCGGAAATTTCCAATTGGAAGGAGCTAATCACAGCAGAATCTAAATAACCGCCCCTCATCTTACTATACACTGCTCTCTCATCAAAATACAAATCACTGCACTGCAACACACCTTGCGTATCAGGCATCAGACCCTCAGTGGTAATGGATATTAAAATTTTGGAATACTTCATACTTTAATACAACGTGTTTAATACCCATATGTAGGTCTGTAACCATTGCTCAGGTATAACACTAGCGCCATCTAATGATCAACTACAATATAGTTAGGAGGTGCAGGAAGAACATGAAACATGGATGTCTGATTATTATTATTATTATAATTAAATGTATATGAGTAATACACGTATTTGTCCTGTTTGCTATTTTTTCAATAATTTTTTCACATAATCTTTTCGGTGAATCAGTTGCTCTTATGAAGGAGAGGTAATTTGCATAAGTAAAGTTTAACTGAAAGCATTCTTTGGCTTAAATTCTTTGTGAAATATTACATTCACTGTGGCAAAGAATTACAGGCAAGAATTACTTTGCAATGATGGAGTTAAACAATGCTTTTATTTAGCAGGATTACATTCATTTTATAATCAAAGGTCAGTGGCAAATCAACTGAAATTTAATGTGCAATACAAAAAAATAGTCAAGTAGATTATGACTCTATTTCCTGTTTAAGAATAAAATTCAGCAGGAGTTCCATGCTCTGAAGTAGACTCATTTAGACTTTCAGACCAGAAGGGACCCATCATGATCATCATGCACATTGCAGGCCACAGAACCTCACCCACCCGTTCCTGCAATAGACCTATGCCCATTAATAGCTAAAATAAGATTTTTGAATAATCTAAAGTAATTATGGAAATAGTTTCAATTACTGAACAATATTCAGGACATATAACACATAATGCAGAGCGGAACTTCATCGTTTTACCCAGAATTCAAGCGGTTATGAAAACATTGAGAATTGTTTTGTTTTATCCTTGGTTCTTTTCTCTTTCAAATAAAACAATCTCAAGGAAGAGAAAGTGATGGATAGCAGGATATTATTTTATTTCAGTGGTGCATTTGCAGGAAGCATGACAACTTTCCTTCACCACAGAATGATTACAGCCAAAGAGGTCTTTTAAGGTGGCACAGTTTGTGTATTTATCCATATACTTGCAAGGGTTGGCTGAAATAAACCAAATGGTAAACAGAGTTAGATGATAAAAGGATAAGTCAGTCCTAAATCAGATAATTGTTTTCCTTTCAAAATGTATTTTTCAATCCATTGTCTTCATAAACCTATGTAGTCTTGTTTGCCTCTCTGTTTTTAACCTGCTGGGCCTCATTCTGAGCTCAGTTAAACTACCTTCAATGGATTTACACTGATGTAAGTGAAAGTAGAATCAAAGTTGTGCTCAGGCCACGGTAGAATTTAGTCACTGGCATTCACTGAATATCACTTTGAAACAGAAGATCAGCCATACCATACAGTGTAACAAGCCAAAATCAACCATTGTACAAATCAACTGAAGTTAGTAGAGATACAAAAGGACTGAACTGTAAGGTTGTACCAAGAATAGGACAGTTTATTTTCATTTTTGTTAGGAATTTATTGTTCTGAACACAAATCATTGTTGGTATAATAATAAGCACCTTTCCTCTGAAGATCTCAAAGTGTTCTTTAAGCTTTAATAAATTAAGACCCACAACAAAGTACAATGAAGTAGAGAATTTATTCTTTTTCTCAGTTTCAGAGACTAGAGTGGGAGGGGGGTGAATGCAAACCGGAAGGTGAAACTATTTGCACACTTAACCATATACACACTTTTGCTCACACTTAACTGAGGCCTGCAAAGCTCCAATGCATATGCAGAGCTCTGTGCATATGTGTAACCCACCAGCTTGTGTGTGTATTGGGTGTCTGTGTCCCCAAGTGTATGGGGCTGAAAAACTTTAGATTGAATACTTAGTACAGAGGTCTCCAACAGAGGGCACTTCTAGCACTACCTAGATTACACAGATCACTGATGCATGTCTAACGCTATGACAGCGCTGATGGGATTTACTTTACCCCTGACTGTTTTAATGTGACTCTGATTTATTAAATATTGCCCAAAATAGCACTTATATCGTTTGAGAGATACCAGAGGATTTTATCGTACAGTTTGAGGAAAAGCAGGGGAAAGTTGTATAAGTGTCTGTTTTAAGTTTCTAAGGGATTATTGTGAAAGAGTTGAGTAAACAGATTTCAAAGGGATGAGGACTCTCTTGACAGAACTCTCATCACAATGTTATTCTTAAGGCTATGATTCAGTCAGGAAGGTCACATCAGTCACGGATTCCGTGACTTTACCGGACCTCCCTGTCTTCTTCGGCTTCAGCTGCCAGCGGCTGAAGCTGGGCCTGGAGGAAGGACTGTGCACCCCTGCCCTGCAACTGGGGCCGGAACCAGGACCCTGCAGCTTGCAGTGGGGGCTGCAGCCAGGGTCAGCCCCCCCCCCCTCGTGGCTTCCCAGGGCCGTGTGACTCTCCCCATCCCCCCATGGCTGCAGCTGGGGCTGTGAGCCTGAGTGGCTATGGCTGGGGTTGAACCTGGGATTATGTGCCCCTGCCCCACAGCTGCCGCCAGCTCAGGAGCTGGGGGCTGTGCAACCCCCCCCATGGCTGTGGCCGCTGGGGCTGTGCCCGCCCCAGTGGCTGGGGGGCTCGGCCTGTCAGTCTTCTCCATGGGACTCCAGCTGTCATTCCTCCCCCACACCTAGCTCTGCCCCCTGGTTATTTTTAGTAAAGTCACAAAGAGGTCAGGGGCTCCTGTGATTTTTGTTTGTTGCCTGTCACCTGCCTGTGACGTTTATTAAAAATAACTGTGAGAAAATCTTAACCTTAGTTACTATCCAAGGTAATCTAGCATTATTTATTTCTTCAGGAAAGATTTGGAAAGAACAAAAGACCATTAACTTACTGCAGAGTCCTCGGTCACAGGCATCAGGGCAATCGCCACACGTTGGTCCCTGTTTGTATGGTTTAGATAAGTCTGCTACACTGTTTCCTCTGAAATTAAAAAGCAACCCAAACATAATATATCCCTTTAAAATAAAGTTAACATACTGTATAACGTAGAACTCATTCCATAGATTGTATGGGAAACCTCCTTCTAAACAATCCTGTTTTAGTTCAAATTATGCTTTGGATAGAGGATGTTCTATTTGAAAGGAAAGAAAGACATACATTTCCGTGATTATAATTTTTTTAAATTCAATATAATAATTCGGCCCTTGTATAGAATATACAGTAACACAATTAATCCTCTGCATCTTCCATCCAAAGACTTCCAGATATGTTTTGGGCAGTAATGAAATAACCCTTTTAGCACCCCTTTGAGGTAGGTCAGTATTAGAGGTATACAAATATTAAAATACCCTCTCTCCCTCTGAATATTCATTTACAACTAAATCAAAACTTGCTTTTGAAAATATTTGTGGCCCTCTCCTGTTTGCTTTGCATGAATGTCTGAGCTCTTGAGCTCCGATTCAACTGCCCAAACCTGTTCTGCAAGGCACTTAAATGTAGGCTTTCATTTCAACATTCGATAAAATAAATATTAACAATGTGACCCAACATCAGTGCATGACTGTTTTAGTTTCACTCCCTTTGTATCGAAAAGTGTTGACAACATCGATGCTTGCAAATTTTTACCCAATTGAAATAGGATATTTCTAGGATATTTCAATTCTAGGAGCCACTATCTGAGCATGCACCTGCTTCCTTGTTTCCCAGTTTTTAGTCATGTAGATACCTTAGAAGTAGGGCTGTCAAGCAGTTAAAAAAATTAATCATGATTAATCGTGCTGTTAAACAAAAATAGAATACCATTTATTTAAATAAATTTGGATGTTTTCTACATTTTCAAATATTTTGATTTCAATTACAGCACAGAATACAAAGTGTACAGTGCTCACTTTATATTTATTTTTGATTGCAAACATTTGCACTGTAAAAATGAAACTTCAATTCATCTCATTGAAGTACTGTAGTGCAATCTCTTTATCATGAATGTTGAACTCACAAATGTAGAATTATGTAAAAAAGAACAACTGCACGTAACCATAAAACAATATAAAACTTTGGCGCCTACAAGTCCGCTCAGTCCTACTTCTAGTTCAGCCAGTCGCTCAGACAAACAAGCATTCAGTGTTGGGGGAGGACAGCAGAGGGGGGAAGTAAGCAACGACTTGTGCAGGAGGAGGGTCTGGTAGGACAGGGGCTGACAATGGGGAGGAGCAAGCAATCACTTGGGCAGGAGGAGGGGGAGGGAGGTGTCTTGCTGCTACTTCTGGAAGGGTGGTTTCTGGTACTGGGCTCTCCTCCTTTTACTGAGCTAGCTGAGCTCCCTTCAGCTGAGTGGGCCCTTGCTTGCAAGGGAGGGTGGCTTTTACCTCAGGGGCTCACCATACTCAGGAGAGGAGAGGCTGGTGCAAGGAGGCTGAGCTCGCCAGGCCCACGTTCTCTATGGGGTACCCCCAGAGCGAGCGACTGGCTACGGGCAATGGGGCACGACGCAGGAGGGTTGGTCCCGGGAGTGAGGGGCCAGCCGGGAACAATAGGGCCTGGGCTGGCTAGGGTGACGATACGTCCCTTTTTCAGCTCTGTCCCGGCTGTCCCTACTTCTTCGCCAAAACGGGTCATTTGTCCCAGAGGCAAGGCAGAGTGGAGAGAGGCGGATGCTGCCTGCAGGTCAGCTGAAGGCAGCCCTGCCCGCCCACAGGAAAGCAGAGACATTTGCTGCTGGAGAGCAGTGCTGGCTTCAGAACTGACCCCTGAGTGGCACAGAGATGGGGCAGGGGGGAAATAAGCCTCAGCCGGGGAGGTGCGACGCTTGGGGGTGGGGATCAGGCTCAGCCGGGGGCAGCGCAGAGCAGGGGGTGGGGATCAGGCTCAGCCGGGGCGGCGCAGCGATTGAGCCCCAGCCATGGGCACTGAGAAGCTGTGGGGAGGGTTCAGCCTAAGCTATGGGCGACACAGGGCTCTGGGGTGGGGGTCAACCCCTGAGCTCGGGATGGAGGTCAGTCCCAGCCCTGGGTGGCACATGGGGGAGGGGTCAGCCCCAGCTGCAGGCGGCACAGGGCTGGGAGGGGGAGACCCCACCATGGGCAGTGTGGAGTTCTGGGGGAGTGGGGGCAGCCCCAGATGTTGGCAGCACAGGGTGGGGAGGAGATAGCCCCGGGAGGCATGGGGAGGGTGGCTCGGGTGAACCCTGCAAGGTGGGGGGTGGCCCTGGCATAGGGTGACCAGATGTCCCGATTTTATAGGGACAGTCCCGATATTTGGGTCTTTCTTCTTATATAGGCTCCTATTACCCCCTCCCGCCCCACCCCCTGTCTTGATTTTTCACATTTACTGTCTGGTCACCCTATGAGTCTGGCGAGCGCCTGGCCGTCCTGCTTCTACTTAAAAAATGCGGGGATGAGACCTACATTATTTTCTGTAGCCTCTTCTCTTCCCACCCTCTGGTAGCGGCTTGCATTAGTGCGCCTGACCAGACAGGTTCTTCGGAGCAGCTCATGAGGGTTTGCCATTAATGCGCGTTAAAAAAATCAGTGCGTTAATTGTGCGGTGCGTTAATCGCATGCGTTAATGGCAGGTAATTGACAGCCCTACCTGGAAGGTTTCAAAACATCTTACAGAGTGTTTCAACTTAAAGGAAATATATATTGGTACGTACGCGGGACAGTACTGGCAAACATAAAAGAACTGGAACCTATTCTGAGGACAGTAGGCAACTCCACATCCAATCTGGTAAGAACGATACCAAACCACCTGCAGGCATGAAAATAAGTACACTCAATCAGCAAGGTTTCATTTCATTCATGGATTGTCTGAGATCCCCTTCATGGTCTCACAGAGCAGCAGCCCTTCAGTTCATAAAACCATAACATCCCTCTGGGAACTGTAGCAACTGCTTACATGGAAAAGTAATATCAAGGAAATATTTCTGTATATTTAGCTTTTAAAAAAATGCAATTTAGCAGCTGGGAGAAGGAAGAGCCTGAACCATGTGACCAACCACCTTTTGTAGAGCACCTGTATGATTTTTCAGACAAGAAAAGAAATGTTTTGTTTCTAATCAATGCTTTGAAATATGTTGCTTTGACATTTCCAAATCAACATTTTTCAGAAATGGTCATTCCACAATTTAGTATATTATTAGTAATTTAAGATACGTTGACATTTGGTCCCATTTTGGGAAGAAGAAAAATATCATAATTTTCCGCTGGAATATATCTTATTAAATATCTGATCCAGTGCCCTTTGAAGTAAATGGAAAGACTCTGAATTAGTTCAGTGGACTTTGGATCAGGCAGTGAATGACAGATAACAGTAATGATAAGTTTCTAGAGGTGTAGTCTCCTAACTTTCCTTAATTACACAGACACATTCCCATTGACTTTGATGGAGACACATGGGTGTTCAGATAAATATATTTTATTTCCAGACTGGTATCACTTTTCTTCCTAAAACAATATTTCATTTGTTGGAAATTTGTCATTAATCCCCATACCTGAGTGTAGCCACCAATAGGGGCATTGTTATTGATTGCTCCAGTACCATATTTGAAATTAGCCACTTGCTTATACCAGGATTGGATTGCATCAGACCAAGGGAGCGGATAAGTTGCCTGTAATATATTTTCACCACAGAGGACATCTGAAAATAGAAATGAGGCAGTTTCAAGACAGCATGAGGACAACTAGAGAGACTGTAGGAATAGCGGAGGAGATGTGAGTTACACCCTACAGTTAAGTTAACCACCAGATTTCCACCCTGTGCATTGTCTCTATTCAGAGAGTCATCAATTCCAAGGCCAGAAGGGACCATTGTGATCAGCCAGTCTGACCTCCTGTATAGCACAGGCCAAAGAACTTCCCCACAGTAATTCCTGTTTGAATTAGAACAGATCATTTAGAAAAAAACATTTCATCTTGATTAAAAATTTCCAGAAATGGGAAATCCACCACAATTTTTGGTACATTGTACCAATGGTTAATTAACCTCACTTGAAAATTTACACCTTATTTCCAGTCTGAACAAAGCAGTACCTATAAGCCTGTACCTCTAAGAAGGGAATTATTGACCTGATCCAACCCCAGTGAAGACAATAGAAAGTGTCCCATTAACTTCCATAGGCTTTGGGGCAGGCCCTGTATGCCCAGAGATGTTCATTTGCAGACTTTTTAAACTAGAAGCATCTCATTAAAATACTAAATGAAAAGGGCAGATTAAAAATAATAACACTGATTTCTAGTTAAAAGATACCATCTGTTCTTGGATTAACAGGCTACCATTAAATATTAGATGAAAATAGTCTCCCCCCAATAGCTGATTATGGTGTACATACCACCTGTGCAAACTTCTTTGTAAAATTCATTCCTGTGCAGGAGACTCACTCAAAGCTTGTGCCTCACTCTAAGACCCACTTTACTAATTATTTGTATTACAATAGCATTTAAAGGCCCTAACAGAGATTAGGGTTTAGTTGTGCTAGGCACTCTAATGACATAGTAAGAGACAGTCACTTCCCCAAAGAGATTAGGGTTCATGTCTCAACAGTCAAGACATGGCACACAGAATTAATGGATTCCTCCCCCTGGTCCATAGAAGATGTCTGGGTTTTTTCCCCCATGGATTTTGGTGGGGGCAAATGGGAAGGAAAAAAAAGTTTGAACCAATTTTTTCCATGGTGAAGAAAACATTCACTCTCTGGAGGAGATTGTGTGTGTCAAGTTTCAACTCAGGTGGATTTTTTCCTTTATTGCATTGTTGGCCCCTAACTATATGGATTTGGAAGTGAAATCTCAACCTGTCCCATATCAGTGCTCCTGCTCTGCTAAAATAACACTTTTGCAGTAATATGGTTGTACCTGTAAGTCTCCAGATGGTTATTTCAATCATTCATAATTTATAGTTACTCTTCACTTACCATTGACAACTCTCTCATTTCTAGGACTGATGGACATTTTACACTGATCTGCCCATCTCTGAGCATTGTCCGCAGCTTCGGGACTCCAAAACTCAAGGAAACAAGGAGAGACATCATATTTACCTTTTGGTAAAACCAATCCGCAATAGTGAATGTAGAACTAAATACAGATCTGGAGATTATGGCCTGGCTATTCAAGGGATGTCAGTCAGAATAGGCCCATGGAAGTCACTGTAGCTAGGCTGGTTTATACTAGCTGGGGATCCTGAATGTTATAATGTCCTGAAGATTTCTTCTGCCTATTTGAAGTGGATTGTTCCCTTAAATGAAAAATCCTCAGCCCCAGAGCCTAAGAGGTGACCCTCTTGTCACCATGAATGAATAAACCAAAATCTCTATAGTTTAGAGCCTAGCCCTGAAAAGTGCCATGGTTTGTGATGGTAGCAATGTTTGGACCAATGGAAAGGTCAGTAAACCAGTTTCCAATCTGCTTTAATAATGGTTTGGCAGTCATAAAGGACAGGAAACCTGTATTGTACATTAGAAATATGTTGAGGCAAACCTTTTTTGCACAGTTCCAGCACACAAAGATCCAGGAGCTGGAAATCCCTGCAAAGGGGGCCTGGAGGGACAGCATCTGCTATTCCAGGCCTAGGCACCACTCAGGCCTTATTTTGAGGGCTTAAATGGGACATAAATGGTGCAGAGCCCATGTACTAGACTCCTGCACAAGAATGGGAATTTCTCTCCTAGAGCTCCTTCCATTCAAAGATCTCAAAGCAATTTAGAAATGCTATTGATGTAAGATTCCCGGTGATCCTTGGAGGTAGGTGAATATTATTAATTCAGTTCAGTAGATGGGAAAACTGAGGCACAGAGGTTAAGGGTAGGATTTTCAATAGCATTTGGGCTTCTAAGTCACTTCAGTGGTTTTGAAAAAATTCCTCTGTAATTGACTTGCAGCAGAGCAGGAGCAGATCCTGGCCTACCAGTGCCTAGGCCAATGGCCAACCACAAGGACATGCTTCTCTCCCACTCTACTTACATTCCCACAGCTTAGCAGGAAAGTTGCACCTTATCATGGAAAGGATTCTGACGGCCAAGTTTGCCACTCTGTGACAATGGGAAACATTTCAGATCTGTAGGAACAGCAATGCCACGTAGCTTACCATCTTCAGCATGTTTCTGGCAGTGGGATTCACCCCTCGCCGAAGGTCATTGTGCTTGTCAACGATCATCTTTTGGTTATTCTCATTTAAATTGGACAACTCATAAAAACCCAGACCTGGATTCTAAAATGAAAATCACAGGGAAAGTTTCATCTCATTTTTGTTTGCCAAATCCCACCACACTCAATGCATTAACCTATGATCCCAGTTGACTATTTTAACAACCACTGTTTGATGATTCATAGAATATCAGGGTTGGAAGGGACCTCAGGAGGTCATCTAGTCCAACCCCCTGCTCAAAGCAGGACCAATCCCCAACTAAATCATCCCAGCCAGGGCTTTGTCAAGCCTGACCTTAAAAACTTCTAAGGAAGGAGATTCCTCCCTAGGTAATGCATTCCAGTGCTTCACCGCCCTCCTAGTGAAAAAGTTTTTCCTAATATCCAACCTAAACCTCCCCCACTGCAACTTGAGACCATTACTCCTCGTTCTGTCATCTACTACCACTGAGAACAGTCACAACCCTTCTGAGCAAAAGGCAATTAGTGGCCCTGCATACTTGGATGACAACAGCCTCACAGTGGATTTACCAACTCCAAATTGATTCCCCACTGACCGGTAGCAGTCTGGCATTGCAAGTTTCCACACAGTGATCATCACTCACTTCTCCACTGTCAGAGCAGATTTAACTTCAGTGTCACTGCACTACAGGGCTGAGGAGAGCTCTGCACACAGTTCCTGGAAAGTAGCCTTGTGCATATGGAACTTCTGCCGCCATTGCTGCTCATCCCATAACTGCATAATCCCACCAATCAGTGGGTGTTTCTCGGGACCAGAAACGGCGCTCACCTGTGTTCAGCTGCCGCACAGCTACCAGCAGCACCCAGGAATTGTTTTGTTCTACAGCTTCCTGCAGGGCTGCTTGAAAGACACTGCAATGTTCCGCCCCGCGGCTTTGGAAATATTGCAGGATAAGGAGCGTGGTGTTTGTAATGCTTGCAACAACGGTGCACAACTGAGTGGGGTCCATGCTTCTTGGGATATGGCCTATGCATGGCTATGCCAGTCTTTTGGAAAAAAGGCATGAAATATTATGGGTTCCAGCTGAAATCAGGGGAAGGAGGGAGAAAGTGTTGAAGCCATGTTCCCAGTCCCCCCTGAGAGAGAGAATGTTTTGGTGCCATGGAGGCATTGCAGGCCCTTCCCAAAAACCCCTGTGGTGTGTTGCACTGTGGGATAGCTACCCCCAGTGCACTGCTCTCTGCATCGATGCCAGCACTGCTAGTGAGGACATGCTCCACTGACATAAGCCATGTGGTGTGGACATGCACTACCGACTTAATTACTGTGGCAGCTGGATGTCAACTTAACTGAAGTAGACTTAAGTTTGTAGTGTAGACATGCCCTCTGGCTTCTCCAACCACCCCGAGCGGGTGCTGGGGGTGCCTATCTAATGTGGCTTCCCAAAGAAGGTATGGGAAGCTGAGCCACTGGAGCCATCTCCAGGGAATAGACTTAGAGTGGAAGGAACCCAATCTGTCTCTCCGCCTCCTCTCTCACCACAGCTGTTTGAACAGCAGGCAAAAGGATTGCTCTCCTGGTATATACCCTACTTCTCTTCCTACTGGTTGGGCTCCTCCCAAAGGGGAAAGAGTTGCAAGAGCCAGCTCCTTTGTTAAAGTGCCAGTCCCAACCCCCATCTATAAAATGGGGATAATGAAACTTTCCTGAAATTCCTCCCTTTACAAGGTACTTTGTGACCTATGAAGTAAAAACCCCATAACAGAGCCAAACATTTATAGTTTAGTCACCTTAATCCTCACACTAATAAATTCACACCCAAGTGAGAAAGTTCCTGTGGCTTACTATGGTATATGCAGCCATGATTATACTGTACTCATCATGTTCTTAGGATTTGTTTAACTGGCTCTCACTGGTGTTGGAAGCATCCCCTTGGGTTATGGAGCACTGTCAGTAAATGGCTCTCCTTTTTAGTGAGTAGCAGAAAACCCATCTCGCAGCATTCAGCCCCCCACTCCTCCATTTAGTGCCTTCCCTTCTGCTTCCCCAGTCAGTAGGTACCCAAACTCCCTAGCTGTCTCTTGGTACCCCAGTCAATCTCTTCTGACTCTGCCCCCTCCCACTATCCATCCTAATATGCATATATTTGGCTTCTTCTACCTCCCGCTTTCCTGGCTTTTCTGGCTTTCCCTTCCATTCAACCAGTTCATCAACTCCCTGCTCCTCTTTGCTCATTGCAATTTCCCTGGCTGCTTTACACTGCTCCTTTCCACTGATACCTTCTATACCATCCATCTAGTCACCTCTGTCTGCCACTCCCACTGGTTAGCGTCATCCCTCCCATTCCCTTAGCATGTTATTTTCAGTGGTCCCCATCTTGCTGATCCCTCCCCTTCTACTTCACCAGTCAGTGGTGACCCATTTTGTTTTTATCTGCTGGTGAATTCCCTCTTATTCCTACAGCCACTGAAGTCCTGCCCCTCTGCCGTTCCTCCTCAGTTGACCCTCTCAATCTGAGAGCTGGCTTTGGGAATGCAGAGATGGGCCTGAACAACATCCCCAGATCCAAACATCCCTGAATGTTTGGAAAGCACGGATGTGGATCCAATATTAAACTTTGCAACTAGCCTCTGTCTCTAGAATGGGCTGAACAAGCTGCTGGGGCCCAAACACTTCCCTACTTTGGAAAAGCTCATGTCTGGATCAGCACTCAGTGGATTCCTGGCATTTAAGTTAAATGGCTTTAGAGTGAAACCAACTTATGACCTGCCAGGGAAAGGTTTGTTGTCAGTACCTCAGTGAAGAGAAGAGTATGGCTCACAACTAATAGGGAGAAGTATCAGAAATTTAATTTTAAAAGATGTTGGAAAACTGGAACTTTACACGTTTTTGAATTGAAATATCCCAAAATGGGACCCTTAATTCTCATAATCTCTACTGTACAGTATTTAGTATATAGCACTGAGATCAGAGCAATCAGAGATTTGTTCTGTAGCTGCTGATGTCAATGGAGATCCTGTGTGCATCTGTCTACATCAGTTTCAAAGAAAGAAAAACGTTTTAAAGGGAAAAAAAGTATTCTATTCCTGAAGGGACAGTGCAGGTAACAAAAGAGCAATGAATGAACCCAGTTTGCTATGGATCTCATTGTGGCCTGCATTTTTTTGTTTAATCTGTGATTAGAAAACAGTTTTATTGAACAAAATAGAATTGGAGTTGAATATCAGGAGGATGCTGAATGCATGCAAATGATGTTTCAGATCATTGTGGGAATTTCCAATGTAATTAATAGGTGTCAGAGGACATGTCAGGGGACATGGACAACAGGGAGTTTTGGATAGCGGAGATTCAGATAAATGAAGGTGCTCTGTATGTGAATAGCTATGAAGTGTCTGTCCTCTGTGAACAAGCAGTGCCTTTAGAAACAGCCAGCACTAAACCACCTGCTTTTCCACTTGTTTCCATTAGGATGGCAAAGTGCCAGGAAGGAGTTCCAGAAAATAATGGAATCACCACAGCACCAGCATTTCCATACCAACAAAGTTTGATTCTCCTCTTGCTTGCACCAGTTTAAATTAGATATAATTCCATTGAACTCAGTGGAATTACACCAGTATAAGACTAGTGTGAGAGGAGAAGCAGACCTTTCCAGTGGTGAATATTTACATAAACAAGGGTGGATTCTTTGAAGGGGAAAATGTGGAAATGCTTAGAACACATGCTGAGGTAATGGGTACTGGTGGTCAAATACCATCTGTACTTATGGAACTTCTGGCAACTAACTATTTTGGAGGTGGCTTAGTACAAAACTCAGCCCATTCCTATTCCTCTGCATAGAAATAAAGGTACATACCTGTCCAACAGCTTGGTGCAGTGCAGCAAGGCACACGATCACAGTTAGCAGACCCATCTCTGTGAAAAAATAAACACCGTGTCATTTAGTCTCTTTTCTGTCAAAGCTTTTGGTGCACTTGCAGAAGCAGCATTTTTGTTTGTGGAATATATTTCTGGAGCAAGATGGGGTGATTTGGGATGAAGGCAACTTGGGTTCTAATATTTTAATGGGAAAAAATCTTCTTTTGTCTCCATTTCTCTTATTTGAAATAACTTGAACATGCAGCAGTTTTCTGCCTGTCTTCTCCCCACTTTATTAAAGGAGCCTGCTTTGTTCATTGATGCAGTAGATCAGGATCTCACCACTGCCCTTCTCAAAGAACATAGCATTGAACAACTGTGTGCAGGAGAGAGGGGCTGTTTTAACAGATGCTGCACTGAGATGGATATGCTAGTCCTCAGTTCCTTGCCCTTCCTCGCCCATATCAACCCCACACTCATTCCTCCCACAGGTGACCCAGTCCTCTACCAATTTACACATAGACTCCATTCCTTGTTAATGTTTTTCCACTCCCTTCTCCTGCCCTGCTAGTTGCCTTTTTTCTGTATTGCTTCCTCACTGCTGATTGCTCAAACTCCCCACTGTTTCCCAACTTGGCACTAAAACATTATGTTTGACTTGCCTCCCCTAACTCTCAAGTCAGAGATAAGAAGCAGGGAGGGGGGTGAGGTGTAGAGCTGGTCAAAAATAAATCAGAATTTCTGCCCTATGGGAAGTTCTGATATTTTGAATTCCGCCCCCCCAAATTGGGTAGAAAAGTTAGAATATCAACATTTCTTATTGAACAGAAAGCTACAAAAAATTCATAAATGTTGAAACATTTCATTTTAGTTTATTTCAACACTGAACTGAGTCCACCTGAGCTTTTGCAGTGCCTCATGGAAGTTTTAGTTCCAGGGTGTCTCATCCAGATTCTCTTCTCTGGACTGGGCTTCCTGGCTGGACTACACCTCCTATGATGCACCATGGCAGTTCAGAGGGGAGACTGGGATACATGATGAGAGATGTAGTCCAGTCAGGGAGCCCAACCAACAGAAGAGAATGGGTGTGTGCAGCACCCAAACTACAACTCCCTTGAGGCAGTCCAGCATCTTAAGTGGACATAGAGGAATGTTGCATTGACCTGAAATGAAACTATTTGATTCGATTTGACAAAGCAAAATATTTTGATTGGGGTCAACTTGACTCAAAAACAAAATGCTTCTTTGATTTTCCTGACTGAAAAAAAAAATTAAGGCACAATTGATATTTTCCTGCAGAAAATGTTGATTTTGTGGAAACTGCATTTTCTGTCAATGTTTTTTTCACAAAAAATTCTCACACAGTTCTAGTTTTGTGTTGGGGGGGAAGGGGAGGAGGGTGTCATATCAGAAAGCAGGCAAGAAGATCAGGTCTCTACCCTCCTTGTCTCCCCATTACTAGATATTTTCCCTGATTGCTTAATTAGCTTGCACTGGTAGGGAGACTGGCGAGATGACGCCTGCTGAATCTTTTCCATGTTTAGATTCTATGGGCCTAATTCTGCTCTCACTCTAATGCGACTGAAGTCAGTGAAATTATACAAGGGTAAAACTTGTGTGAGGAAAACCAAGCTCTTAATATCCCACCATCTCCTGGATTTGATCAGCCCTGCTACATTCACACATTAAAATATATATTCCTAGTACTGAGTAGGGATACCCTGAATACAGGTGCCATGAGTAGCACAGGTTACCAAGTTAGGAAACATAGCCTCATTTTTCACACCAGCTGACTCCTTGGCTATGCCAGGTTTCTCCATGGTTCCTGCCATGGCAGGCCTGCAGAGCAGCCGTTCAGACTTTTCCGGGAAGTTGGGTTTGGGGTTGATAACTTCTGCATTATGGTGCTGAAAGCAAGGGTGTATGTGTCTGTGTGCTTGTTAGTTTTTTGTTTTCTGTTGTGACCAGAATTGGAGTGAATATTCACAGAAGTGGTTTTTGCAGGATTTAACAAAGCTCTATTCACCTTCATATGGATGGATTATTCCCTCTGTGCATTTGTATAATACATCCATCCATACATAAGGTGAGATTATTTTTGCACTATTGCTTTTTTAGTTGGTCAATGTATTTGTTGGAACTCTTGATTGAAACTGGGTCATAAGGCCAGGTTACTTCAAACAGATAACACAGTACAAGGTCACTGTGATACCAGAACATATTCATGGGGTAAAATTGCTCCAGATGTTGAGAGTTAAATAGCAGATGCCGCTTGCCCTCACAGTGCCCAGATTATGAAAACAGACTATTGTTCCTTGGGCTGATAAAGTGACTTCCATAGGACAATAGCCAATTGAGAGAAAATTTCAGCTCATAGAGCAATATTATATATAACAATAAATATTAGCTTCAGCCTGTTGTATAAACACAGAAACTAGGTAAAAAGAAAAGGAGTACTTGTGGCACCTTAGAGACTAACAAATTTATTTGAGCAAAAGCTTTCATGAGCTACAGCTCACTTCATCAGATTCATGTAGTGGAAAATACAGTGGGGAGAGTTTATATACACAGAGAACATGAAACAATGGGTGTTACCGTACACACTGTAACAAGAGTGATCAGGTAAGGTGAGCTATTACCAGCAGGAGAGCCGGGGGGGAGGAGGGGGGACAGGCGGGGATGGGGACGACCTTTTGTAGTGATAATCAAGGTGGGCCATTTCCAGCAGTTGATAAGAATGTGTGAGGAACAGTGAGGGGGTGGGGGAATAAACATTGGGAAATAGTTTTACTTTGTGAAATGACACATCCACTCTCAGTCTTTATTCAAGCCTAAGTTAATTGTATACAGTTTGCAAATTAATTCCAATTCAGCAGTCTCTCGTTGGAGTCTGTTTTTGAAGTTTTTTTTGTTGAAGAATTGCCGCTTTTAGGTCTGTAATCGAGTGACCAAAGAGATTGACGTGTTCTCCAACTGGATTTTGAATGTTATAATTCTTGATGTCTGATTTGTGTCCATTTATTTTTTTATGTAGAGACTGTCCAGTTTGGCCAATGTACATTGGCAGAGGGGCATTGCTGGCACATGATGGCATATATCACATTGGTAGATGTGCAGGTGAACAAGCCTCTGATAGTGTGGCTGATGTGATTAGGCCCTATGATGGTGTCCCCTAAATAGATATGTGGACACAGTTGGCAACGGGCTTTGTTGCAAGGATAGGTTCCTGGGTTAGTGTTTTTGTTGTGTGGCGTGTGGTTGCTGGTGAGTATTTGCTTCAGGTTGGGGGGCTGTCTGTAAGCAAGGATTGGCCTGTCTCCCAAGATCTGTGAGAGTGATGGGTCGTCCTTCAGGATAGGTTGTAGATCCTTGATGATGCGTTCATCTGTTAGTCTGTATTCATCAAGGATCTACAACCTATCCTGAAGGACGACCCATTGCTCTCACAGATCTTGGGAGACAGGCCACTCCTTGCTTACAGACAATCCCCCAACCTGAAGCAAATACTCACCAGCAACCACACGCCACACAACAGAACCACTAACCCAGGAACCTATACTTGCAACAAAGCCCGTTGCAAGGATACCATCATAGGACACCATAGTTTCATGATGTGACTAACAGTAAAATCAGTATGATGGTTACAGTTCCCTGCACTGCAGACATGAGTGATACCATTGACTGTAGCATGGGAAATGCCAGACCAAGTGGGAGGCAAAGGTTTTAAATTATTTTCGTTTAAAGTGCATTTCTAATATTAAAGTCAGCTCATAGGACAAGCTCTGCTTGCTGCATTTGCAGAAGTAGCTACACTGAAGTCAAAATTTCAGTTTGTATGAGTGAGGCAAGCAGGATATGGCCATGTGTTGTAGCAATGAGAAGATGTTCCATCATCACGGAGTAGCCAGGGTCTAGGCACTGGGGAAACATTGTCCCCTCCCCTACCAGCCAATGGTATATTTATGGAGCCACTCATGCAGGCTACTTTACCACAAGCACCTCTAGTTTAGCCTGGCTGTGCTGAGGGGAGACCAGAGGATCCACACTGTCAGAACCTCTGCCTGGGCATGCTCTATCCTTCCAAACTCCATGTATCTTGCTACATAGAGCCCACACAGCACCAGACAGGGCATAGCTCATGTGCCCCACACACCAGCTCAGACAGCCTCTTCCCCATTGTTACATAAGAAAACCACACCAGGGGTTTGAGACTGTGCCCAATAAAGCTAGTGGCAAAGCTGTCATATAATGCAGGCTGAGTCTGAGTTCTGCAGAGGGAGGGAAATCTTTGGGTGCAGAGGTATTGTCTGGATTTCCCTCTGAGAACATACATTATCTTCACTTTTAAAAAGAAGACCAAGGGAGGCTGAATTTTTATGATGATTCAAGGCTTGATACAAAGTTAATTCTAAGATATTAATGTATAGTGCTTGAAATTCCCCAGATAAATGTATGTTAAGGGATACACAACATTTCTAGCATTAGTAATAAATTAAATGTTTGTTTCACAAACTTAAAATATTAATACACATTTGCACTCAATAAGATCTGACAATCAAGCCCACCCATATTAATAAATTGGTCCGTATCAGACTATATGATCCAAGATTTTGAAACCTGGGCACTGAAGGTAGATTCTTAAATAGATATTTGTGCTCCCAAATACAATTTTATACCAAGTAAATGGGATTGATTTCAATAGAGTTAGGTGCCTAAACACCTTGAGGGATCTGAGCCTTAAGTGCTCTTGAAAATTCCAGTGCTAGAATTCTAACATCAGGTACCCAGGTTTGAAAATTGTAGCCATTTTATGCAAATTGTAATCATACATTAAAAATTCCTAATGGTAAAAAAATCTATTAAACTACAAAGTTAGAAACAAATTCATACATTTGCCTTTTTACAACCCAACACAATTTTTTTCCTAGCTGAGAAATTTTTCTGACCTGTTTTTAATGCTGGGAATTTTCTGATAATTTTGCGACTACCAGTCATTGGTAGGGTTTGTTTATTCAGTTTACATTGTAATAAATTATTTTCTATCTTTTATGTGTTTTACATTTATGTCTTTTAGTTTTTTTCCCATTCACTAAGAATATACAATTAACCTGTTTTTCACTGAAATATTTAATATACAGTCTAATATACTGTACACAGGAGCAAGTTGTTTAGTCTCTCTAGAGGAGAAAAACCTGTGCTCAGATACCCTGGTTTACATCAGGGGTAATTCCACTGAAATTACATCAGCATAAAATCAATGTAAGAGAGAGAAGAATCAGTCTTTCAGTGACTGAGCTTAACCACTTGCAAAGCAGGATAATAGATACCCACTGTGCAAAGTGATTTAAGATCCTTGCATGGAAAATGCCTTGAGATGATGGGCCAGATTTGGATCTGGATTACAATGGTGGGAATCAGATTAACTCCACTGATTTTTAGGGGAGTCATTTCTCATTTACACCAGCACAATTTAGATCAGAACGTAGCCTGGTAAACAGAAAATATTATTTATTAGTGTAGTTTCCCTGTGGGATTAGTGCATTAAAAGTGTAAAATTAAAAGTAAAGACATTTTGGTACTATTTACATTCTGAATAAAATACCATTGTGAGACAGTGCTGAATAAGTGTTTTCTCCAATATAATTTCTGTTAAAAAAAATTAGTTACCTTTCTCCAGTCTGAGTCTGTCTATCTTTGGAAGGGCTGTAAGTGTTTGAAGTTATCTCCACTCTAGAGGTGTGTATATATAGCACACCTACTTCCTGTTTTATAAACACGTGGTTTAAAAAAAAATTACAATATCAGCACAGTGCAGCATTCTTTAAAAAGAACTAACTTTAATCAGGGAACAGCTGACTGAAATTCAGCTAGTCCACCTGTGGTGTTCTTGCCTTTAAAAAACAAACAAACAACAACAAAACAAAACAAAAACAGAAATTGGCTCTCCTAACACATGCCAGGCCTGGGAAGGTCCGTCCTTTCACAGAGCAGGTGAAAATTCTTTGCCAATGTTCCACAAAGCTGACCTGTAGACACTTCTGCTAAAGGGGGAGGTGATGTAGCATTGATCCTCACAAAAAAGAAAGAAGGGTTATAGTGGCAATGACTGCTTTGTAAGTCTCATTTCCAGCCCTAGTAAAATAATGGAATAAATATTAAGGGGGGGAAATTACTGGGCCAGCTCACCCCTCTCTAACACAATAGCCTCCTTGCTAAGGAAAACTCTGCGCTAAGCCCACTTAGCGTTTTCCTGGAACTGTTTCCTATGTTAAAATATCTTTATTATGCTAGCTTCCAGAGGTGAGACTGGGGCCCCATTGTGCTAGATGCTGTACAAACAGAGAGTAAGAAAAACACGGATTGTGTTTGGAAAATGTCCAGTACATAGGTGCAAGAGTGTTTGGTTTGCACCTTTCCCCATGGAGCAGGACTCTAAATTCCCTTCCACAGCATGAAAAACTTTTCTACTTTATCACTGATTATTGCAGAACACCTTAGGGCATCTCACACCTCTGAGGCATTAAGGGTCCATAAGAAACAGCAACAAGACCTGGAGTAGCATTTAGAATTCTGATGAATGGAGCAAGGGGCTGAGCCAGTCACACTCTCCCCAGAAAGTGCCCAGGCTGCCAGCCCTCCTCCCTACAAGCAAATGGAAGAAGTAAATGGAAGGGGTCTAAGTATCTTCTACAGGGTTAGGACAGGACATGGGTCAGATAAATCCTAGAGTATTATGAGGAATAGGTCATTGGGCCTTTCCTCCTTCTTCCCATCAGAGCAGTGGTTCCCAAACTGGGGTTCGTGAACCCTTAGGGGTTTGCGAAATGTTACAGGGGGTTCTCGGGAAAAAATTCCCTAATGACGGACAGAGCTGTCCCTAGGGACCCCGGGCAGCACAGGGCCAGCAGCCCGGAGCCCCTGGACTTCCAAGAGCTAAGCAGATCAAAGCAAGCGTATCTATCACACTGAGGAGATTTAAACTTCAAGACTCCTTATAAGAAATGGAAAGGGAGGTGGATATTTTTTGCTGTTTTTAAAATTAAATAGGCAGCTAGTATTGTTTTTAAAATTATTATGAAGAACAGGTTTAAGCTTTGTTGTCATGTGTGTTGTTTGCCTGGACTGCTCAAGACCTGAAAGCTTGTGTAGGAGTTGGCTTCTTAAATATCTTCATGCTGTTTCACATCTGATACTCCTTGATAAAACATAGGAGCCTTGTCTTATAACAGCTTATTCAAAGTGATACAAGCTATGAAAGTGAGATCTTGGAAGAGTGTTGCCGTTTTCATAATGTAATAAAAATACTGTAATCATAAATAATAATAAATAATGTGTAATAAGCATGCCGTACAAACAAATTTTATGTTTCCAAGATCACTGCTTTTATAATTTATACGCAGGTAAAGGAGAAAATCCCCGGAAATATTCATTTTTAGGAGGGGGTTCGCGAGACTTGACATTTTATTGAAAGGAGTTCACAGGTTGTTAAAGTTAGGGAACCACTGCATCAGAGGACAATGCCAGGCAAGAAGTGAGCCTGTACTCTGTAGGTGAGGGAGGCTTTGTGAGAAGACCTCGATCTATGGGGTTATGTCAAAAATTCTGCCACTCAAACCCTCTCTAAGAGTTCTGAATAGTTCAGATGAGCTTTGCATGAGCAATGTGCATATTTATTTTTGGATGCTTATCTGAACCTTTTGAAGTTCGTTCATCTAAGAGGCCTCACATTTCCTTTCATGCTCTGAAGTAGGAGCACAGAGGCTCCTGATTTCTGAGTCACTTGAGCTGCACTAGCTCTCTGAAGAGACCGGCAATTTTCCTTCAGGCACAGCACATTCTCCCAGGATACCAGGTGGGGAGCAGGAATGATCTAATATTAGCTCAGACCTACACCCAGGTAGCACACAATCCTTTCTGTGTGGGGAGGAACACTTTCACACGTCTAACGAGGCCCCTATTGAATATGAAAATACACAAGCCACAGTATGATAGATGTGAACCCGACATTCAGATAATCTGCAATGCCAACAGCAGTGCATTTATGTAAAACTATATTCCCATAAGCCAGAAAGCAAGGGCCTGTATAAAGAACAATATGCTCACAAACATTCCTTTACAAAATCCGTACTTGTATATACAGGCACATCCCTTTGGTGTACAGAACATTTTTTCCCCACAGCACTTTATAATTCATTACCCGGGGATGAAAGAAGGAGGAAGAACCCAAAGACCAATACACATGATGTCTGGGACTGAGGTACAGAAAACAATTTGGCACGGTAATTAGCTTATCTTGAATAGGGATAAGTGAAGGGGCGAGGCATTGGATACCAAACACTGTCATCTATTCCTACTGATCATTGCTAAATGTGGGTTGTAAATTGAGCTTTATGTATTTTGGACTGGGTCTATAATGAAGTGCTTCCTTCCCCATCCTACCCATAAATCATAATCACCAGAATCTGATTAGAATCGAAGTACTAGGGGTGTAATCTTCGTGCCATTAAAGTTAATGGGAGTTTTGCTACATTTTCTCTTAGGGTATGTCTACCATGCAGTTAAACACCCATGGCTGGCCTATGTCAGCTGACTCGGGATAATAGGGCTGTTTCATTGCAGTGTAGACAATTCAGGCTTGGAGTAGCACATGGGGTCTGGCACCCTTCCCCCTGGGGGTCTGTGAGCCTGAACATCTACACTGCAATTAAACATCCTGTGAGTGTTTAATTGCAGTGTAGACATACCCAGAGCCTGCCTGGTCCACCTCCCATTGAAGTCAATGGAAGAGTTCTAACTTCAGTGGACATTGGATTAGATCCCAGGATCCCCGTCGGTTGAAGGGAAATAATGATGTTGTGAGGATTAATACATTGACCCTTGTGAGCTGCTCAGATGCTCTGGCAATAGGGGACATACAAGCACTCAGATCTTGCTAGGGAGCATAGACCCTGCTCCCTTCTGGTGCCTCAGAAGATGCTAGTTGCCAGAAAGGGGACAGGGTGGGTATAAGGCCATTCCAAACTAGCTTGTAAGGCACAGAGGAGAAGCAAGCTGCACTCTTGTATAGTGACTAAGCAGGAAATATAGAACTTATTAACAGTAGTAATGCTAGAGACACCCACCCACCCAGATTAATATCTTGGCATAATTTAACCCTAAACCGTTAAAAAAACAGGAGATGCTCTTTCTGTGTTTAACTCAGCTTGAGTAACCACAACAGCTAACTGCCTAGGTAACCACAATCTCTTGCTAAATTGTGAAGTAACTTCCTCTTTTATCTTTTTCTTCTATTTTATATGCTTTAAACTTTGTAATAGAGATATAAGATCTCAAGCTATGCTAGTTGATGCAGTTTCATAAGGCATAATATAGATAGATACATTTAAAATGTGTTAATTACAATATCATAAAATTAAAGCTATCTAAAGTGATATATAAGAGCTAGGTATTTTATTTTATTTTTAAAGGCATTCTCTAGCAGACCCCTTCAGTTTGAAGAAGCTTCATCGCCTAGGCAACTTGATTACAATGTATTGCAAATAGTTCAGACCGTGTTGTCTATTTTAAAATAGAAATTGATTAGTAAGATATATAACTAATCTTTAACATAAGTATATCTAGCAAGGTGTTTATTTTGTATCAAAGAAGCTGATAAATTCAAATGGTATGCTGAGAAACCAATGTGAAGTTAAATCTTTAAGGTGAGTCAAAATGTTTTAAGGCCTAAATGATTGTAAGACCTGATTGACTGCATGATTGGCAGTTGCACAGAGAGAAAGTTCCATATATGCAGCAATCCTACAGACTATCACTGAAGTATAGGGAATAATCAAATACTGATGCAGAAGTTTGCATTGCTCTTTTTGTATGATTTCATTAATTGTTATGTTTCAGAGTAGCAGCCGTGTTAGTCTGTATTCGCAAAAAGAAAAGGAGGCCTTGTGGCACCTTAGAGACTATCCAATTTATTTGAGCATAAGCTTTCGTGTGGTGTGGTCTGGGTGAAAGCTGGAGGCATGTAGGTAGGAATAGCGGTCAGTAGGTTTCCGGTATAGGGTGGTGTTTATGTGACCATCGCTTATTAGCACCCAGACCACACCACACGATCCACTGTCTACAGCCAAGCTCTATGATACAACCGCATTTGCTCCAACCCCTCAGACAGAGACAAACGCCTACAAGATCTCTATGAAGCGTTCTTACAACTACAATATCCACCTGCTGAAGTGAAGAAACAGATTGACAGAGCCAGAAGAGTACCCAGAAGTCACCTACTATAGGACACGCCCAACAAAGAAAATAACAGAACGCCACTAGCCATCACCTTCAGCCCCCAACTAAAACCTCTCCAACGCATCATCAAGGATCTACAACCTATCCTGAAGGACAACCCATCGCTCTCACAAATCTTGGGAGACAGGCCAATCCTTGCCTACAGACAGTCCCCGAACCTGAAGCAAATACTCACCAGCAACCACATACCACACAACAGAACCACTAACCCAGGAACCTATCCTTGCAACAAAGCCCGTTGCCAGCTGTGTCCACATATCTATTCAGGGGACACCATCATAGGACCTAATTACATCAGCCACACTATCAGAGGCTCGTTCACCTGCACATCTACCAATGTGATATATGCCATCATGTGCCAGCAATGCCTCTCTGCCATGTACATTGGCCAAACTGGACAGTCTCTACGTAAAAGAATAAATGGACACAAAT